CCTTCCTTCCTTCCTTCCTTCCTTCCTTCCTTCCTTCCTTCCTTCCTATAAGGAATTTAACTCCTAGTCGTCCTAGCCAACATGATCTAAGACAGGGGTCGCCAACCTTTTGGACCTCAGGAACCACCAAACTCATAATTTTAAATCCCAGGGATTTAACCGGTTCTGTGTGCATGGGCTAATTTGTGGGTGTGGCTTGATGGTCATGTGACTGGCTGGGCATGGCTTGTATGTAAATATTATAAATATTGATATAAATATTGATTTTTTTTCCCTTGAGGCCCACCAATTGGCGACTGCTGATCTAAGGTGAGAGATGCTGTGACTTGCACCTCATCTAGAACAGCCAGAAAAGCCTTTTGCAGGGGTTCTCAAATGTTCCTCTTCCCAAACAGTTGCCAAAAATATCGAGCTGGATTTTACTGATTAAAACTCCTAAATCTCTTTCCTAAAATTGACCCTGGCCCCATCCATTGTAGAGTTCAGCTTTTGGTACGCTACACCAAGCCTGATGAAGCTAGCGAATCAATGTAAATTGTACATTCTTGATCTAAAAGCCACCACCCTTGATGTAAATACTTAGCTTTCCTTCTTCCTCATAACTCCAACTTAGAATTTTATTTTTATTTATTTATAAAATTTATTGGTCACCCATCTTACCATAGGGTAACTCTGGGAAGCTTACAGTTACATATATAGTTAAAACGTTAAAAGTTAAAATCAGTCATTAAAATCAAGGAGACATGGGGAGGGCAGGGGCAAAGGGGAGGTAGGATTTGTTATCACTCAATCAACCACCTCCATTATGCTGTTCCCAGAGGTGGGTTTCAAACATTTTATCAACCGGTTCTGTGCCCAGTTGCTGGGTGGGAGTGGACATGGTCTAGTTGGCCTCCTGCACCACAGGGGGCTGTTTGTCACCCTCCCCGGGCTCCGAAGGCTTTTTTCGAGCCTCCGGGAGGGTGAAAACTGCCTCCACAGGGTCCAGAGGCTCCGGCCTTCCGGAGCCTCCAGGAGACCCATTTTTCACCCTCACCGAGCCTCTGCGCTGGCCCTGAACTTACCTGGCATCCAAAATAGGTGTATGGGGACTCCTCGGACGGGCGATGTGGAGTGGGCTGGGCCAGCAGGGTTGGGATTTGCCCGTTCACTGAACCAGCCATAAAATTAACTACTGGTTTGCCCAAACCAGGGTGAATGGTAGCAGCCCACCCCTGGCTGTTCCCACACAGGGCCCACATGCCAGTTTGGCACACCCACATCTTTATGCCCTTAACAAAAAGATAGGAGGTTGGGCCACATCAGATTATTGATTTTTAAAAATGATTGAATTGCCCTATATTGTACTCAGAATAGAACTATTTATAAATGATCTAGATTATGAAAATTTAGTATCTATCTATCTGCTCATCTTTCATCCAACTCTGAGTGACTCCCAGCAGATGGTTTTGCAACATCAGATAACTAACATCAGGATCTTTGTTCATGACAGCTAGCAAACACTCAGCAAGACAAAAGGATTGTGTCTCATTGCAATTATATTTTCAGTTTCCTATTTAAAAAGTAGTCGCCACTTTCTGAATTCTGGTAGTTTATTTTTCCAACCAAGAATAACTTTGTTATTTGAAAGTATCAAATTGTACAATCCAAACTTTTTCCTTTCTCTTTTCTATAATATTTTGCACAGAAGAAAAGACAGGAATTAATAGAATTTAGATTATAAACTCCTTGAAAAATCTTAACAATTTTGAAATTAGAGGTTATTATCAAAGAACCCTTTAATAGCAAGGGACATTGCATTTCATTTCCAGTGAATGAATGAATGAATGAATGCAATTTCATTCATGTTAAATTCATGCAGTAGCAAACAACAGTTGGGCATTTAATTCAGATTGATACTATTACAATGGAATAGACGTTGAAGTACACATATCCTGGGAAAAACAAAAACGATTTTTCCAGTTGAATGGCCCCAAGCGGTTATTTGTCCTATACCTATAGCAACACCATGTTCAGTGCAAAATGAATCATAGAACTACTTTAAGCATAGGAAATTAGTGATAGATTTACTATGCACAATAAAGAAATTCAAAAACCCATCATCAGAAGGCCCGCTTAGTTGGCTTGAAATTTAAAAGGATTAACTAAATTCATGGAGAAGAGGCCTCTCAACAGCTAACAATTCGGGGTTCTTACATTTAACATTAGCTATTAGACCCATGCAGACATTTTAATGAGATTATGCAGCTGTTTTCAGAAGTGCTGCCAACCCTCCCCATCTCATGCTGCACTCTTGTGTTTATATTGCCAGTATATAATGTGCCAGAATTTTTCCATCTGTTCATGTGATATATGTGCTTTCCGGAAGCAGCCAGGATAATAGCAAAGGCTACATGGCTGTTGCCACTAGAAGCAACTGTCAGTTTACAGAAAGGGAAACCAAAAAGCTGCATCAGGAAGCTGCTTTAGACAATGCCAGGGAGGTAATTAGGCATCTTTGACACAAGGTCATATTTTCCTTTGTACAAGAGAAAGAGAATGTCTATGACAACCCCAAAAGTATACTGAATATTCTGTAAGACTTATTCACTTTCAAAGTCAGATAAACTGTCCAGTGACAGAAACACACAAACAGGTCCATCCTGACAAGTAGTTGTAGAAATCCTATTTAACCAATTCATTTCTCTATAACTTTTCTGCCCTGCCTACAACTGATAAATAATCCCATACTTACCAAGATGAATAAGTAGCCATAAATAACTGCAGTCACAGTTGGTTAACTGATTAATGGGAAATAACTATGCAAATTTCCTTCTATAGAATTCTGGAAATTCATTACAATATTGAAAATCATCCTAGGGTCATGAACTCTTCTTTAGGGCCATTTTATAACATGAATGTGCTGGGCAGCCCACTTTCATAGTGTCACTAACAATTGAAGCCCAAAACAGGGAGAAGTTTGCCTGTTTCATGGAACTTATTGAATCACAATCAAACACACATATACACACATATATACCACTACCACCCCCACCCCCACAAAAGAGATCAACAGTCAAGTTAAGCCAAGCTCTCCTCCTAAATTCCCTAAATTTCTAGACTGAACTGAATCAATGATTGAATAAAGTTTTGTATCTGGAAGTCCTGGTACCGTGAGAATTAAACTCCCACTCTTTCTTCTTCTTCTTCTTCTGTTCATTTGTGTCCAATTCTTGAAGACTGCCTGGACAAGTGCCTGCAATTTTCTTGGCAAGGTTTTTCAGAAGTGGTTTGCCATTGTCTTTTTCCTATGGTTAAAAGAGAGTGACTAATCAGATTTACCCAGCCAGCCTTTATGTCTAAGGCAGGTCTAGGGTTCATGGTCTCTTGATTTCTAGTGTGCTCTTCCAACTGAGTGTAAAACTGGCTCTCAAACTAAGCTTACTGTCTATCAATATGATTGCCTCTTGTAGCATATAAAAGTAGAACTCTCTGCTCTTATGAGCTTGCAAATTATAATACAGTATTCTGACCTGATTTGCAAGCTGCAGTGAATCAGTTATTCATCACAATTATCTAACCATGGTTTATTGAATATGCCACAACTGATCAACTCCACACAACTTGCTTAGCCAAAACCAAGCAGAAGAGCATGGATACATTTGCAGAGCATGCTCAATTCTTAATGAGAGTTTGCAAATCACAGTTGTTGCTACTTCTCTAAAGTAAAAATCACAGAACCCGAGAGGTGAGCCAATGAGCAATGCATATCTATATGTAACTGCTTTTATTTTTATTAGGGCAAAAGTTGGAAAAATTGCATGGTATTTTGTTCTTAAAAATGATAATGGCAGCAAGACCTCTATATCAGATGAAAACTACAATGGAAAAGTAGAGCTGATGGAACTGGCTCGGAACTGGCTCGGATGGTTAAAGTGATGGCTCTGAAAGACATTGGCTAAATGTATAATACAGTTGGAAACTGCTTTTGGACTTTTTGCGTGAAGCCAAAAAAACCAAAATCATGACATATGGATTTGTGTATTTGTAATATTTATAGATTTTTTTAAAAAATGGAGGTTACATTGTAATTGTAGAGCATGAGCTGAACTCAAGTTTTATTTGTGTCTGTTTTAAAAGAAGTCAAAATCAGAAGTCATCCTGATGTGTTTGTATTTTTGTATTTTTGTTTTTATATTTTTTTATTTTATTATATCTCTCTGCCAGTTCTATCCATTTTCTGCCTTCCTTTCTATTCTCTCTCTTCACTACTGGTTTTCTATGAGTTTTTTATTTTTTATTTTAAAAAACCTTAATAAATTTATATAAAACAATCAAAGCAGTTTTGGTGTGCCATTAAATGAAGGATTTTTTTAAAAAAAAATGCCTGCCAAAGTAAGCAAAGTTAAATTAAATGACCAGCCCAGTGTTTCTCCATCTTTGTCACTTAAATATGTCTTAAGTCATCTTAAGATGTCTCTTTTGTATCTTTTTAAAAAGAAACTTTAAAATGGGGGAAGAAGCTAAGAAGTATGACCTAGTAAGTTCCAGAAGTCCTTGGAGGTTCTGAGGTATGGCCTTGGGGGGTCATTGCACATGATCCAAAAGTTGCCCATGGATATTAAATAAATATCTATAAAAGGATAGAACTAAAACAGAGAGCCCGGTGAGATTCAGATAATTCCTAAACTGTAAACAAATACAGTTTATTCAACACAGAGAGGTTTATTCAATATATCGCAGTCAATGAAACATGCTTAATAATCACATAATCTCTAGTAACTTTTTGTACACTGAGCAGAGTAGATGAAAGATAGGAACCTGGAAGATACCATATCTGAAGTCTTGCCAGGGAGATACATCTATGGTGTGGCTTGCTTATTCTTCTTCAGTTGCAATCTGCAGAGGTGATAAAATGTTTGAAGTTTCCTGGAGACATCTGTCTATAACTTTTATCAGGGTGAATCAATTCTGCCAGCCACTTGTAGGACATTCCGTTTTACCTTCATGACACTCTGTGGGAGGAAACTAGAAGGGCTTTCATTTGAATATTATTATTATTTTTTTACAGGTCAGCCCTTTCTGTTACACGGAATCTGAATCCATGGGGCATTCTACAGCCATTGTCAGTCTCCCCCACTTACAGCAACATCTATCTTTGAATATGTACGTACATAAAATCATCATTAATTTCTTAGGATAACATTTTTGTGTGGCCAGAAGGGGCTATTGCCTAGCAACTACAGCACATGGTCTGAAATTAAGGTTGGGCCAAAATGCCCAAAAGAGACAATACCAGAAGGAATTTAAAAAATAAACCCATGTGCTCTCTTTCCATAAATATGCCATACTATATTTTGTTAAAACTGAGGTAAACATCGTTCTAGAATTACTCTACCTTTATGCCTTAAATTAGCTTCCAAGCACCTGACATGAAATATAAAGCTCGCTGTCAGAAAAGACAGATCTTTTTAATTTAAATGAAGAATCATTAGGAATAGCATGTGAATATTATGCCTTTTAAGCTACAGGATCCACAAAACCCTAACACTGTTTGCTGGAGCAGCTAATTACTGCAATGTCATGTGTCAAAGAAATACTGGGATTTGGATGACAGATCTAAAACCCAAAAGAGCTGATGCTGAATCTTAATATGTAATTTCCTGATGCTAATAAACAGTGCAATTATTCCACGTTCAAAGGAAGATGATCTTTTTGTGTGCAAGTGTATGGGTGTTTTAACTCCTTTTGTTCCAGACCGTGTTTTCCTTTCTCCAGTCCGGGATCCTAGCCCAAAGCTTAATCTTGGACTGAATACATCATGTCGATTACACCAACCCTCTTAGAAATGCCATACATATTGCTGGGTAGGGATCCCTTCGGCATTCTTTACAAGTTGTCTGCTCTTAAATCTGATACAATATTCACCAAAGCATTTCAAGTTGCATAACAGAAGCGTTACATAAAGAAGCTTCAGTTGCACTGCTCTGGTTTAGCACAAGGCACAAGAGCAACTCCTGGTGTGGCCTGAAAGCAGAGTGTTGTGTCATATCCTCATTACATTGCATAAATGAAACTATTTTTTTTTTAACCAGTGCTCCTTACATTTCAATAGGTCCGTCGCTTTGCACTCCTATACAGCTCACAGTCCAGATGAACTCAACCTGCAAAAAGGAGAAGGCGTTCGTGTTTTAGGGAAATACCGTGAAGGTTGGCTAAAAGGAATGTCTCTGATCACAGGAAAAGTTGGAGTCTTCCCCAGCAATTATGTTGCTCCGTTTTTCAGGTTTGACCATTGCTATTTATAGATTGAGAGATGTAGTTGAAATTAGCAAAAATATCTGGAGAGGGATTCTTCCACAGCAGGGGGAAAAAATGCCACTGTGGGGCTTGAATTAGTTTAGGATGAGTGAATAAGATTGGGTGGTAGTGTTGCCTACATACATTTAGCTCCTGATGACATGTAACCTTAATGCATCTGCCTGGGACTATTTTGGCCAAAAAGAAATAAAAATCAGTTTGGACTGCTAAGTTTCTTTTTTCTTTTTCCCCTTTCTGGATCTGGAAAATAGTTACATGTTGTAGCTCCTAATTATTATTAGTGTTTTCCTTTTTCTGTAGCATAAAAGCTGAACTATACAGTAGTACCTAAAAATAATATTTTGTAGCTACATGGGAGTGAACAAATCAGTAAGGACTAGTATTTAGATAGTACAGGCATGCTGAGCTTGTATATGAAGGCCAGATGCATAAATGTCTATAAAAAATTTGTATAAAACAATCACAGGTCAGTTGCTTGTATGATACTGAAATGCCATCTAAAGCTTGGTCTTCTTGCTATCCAGGGTTCTCTTTCATTTTATTTTCAATGAATAGCTTATCATTGGTACGATAGATATAATTGCTTGTTCAAAGGGATTATTAAATCAAAGCTATGCATTTACTAATTGAAACAATACATTTGCTACCAAATGTTGCCATAGATCAACATAAGGCCACAGAAGGACTTGTTTGTTTTTGTTTGTTTGCAAGCAAATAAATAAGAATTGAAGTCTCTGGGTACCACGACGAGAAGCTGATCCAGGAGGAGGCATCCACAGTCAATGAAACTTTTTTTGCAGCATTTGCTATGCGGTGTGCTTTTGTGGGTGATTAAATAACCATTAAGAAACCTTTTAAATGAAAACCTTTTATAATACCTTGAAAATTAAAACATTTCTTTCTATGCCATGAATAAACTGATTAAATGCACAAAGGACTGCCATGGTTGGATAACGCTCAGCATAGATCTCAAGGCAATCCTGGGGATAGAAATGGCATTACAATTATTTCAGTCCAAAAGGTGAAATAGTAAATCACTATTATCTTCTGTAAGATTGCCAAGTTTTCAGAAGACCTGTAGAAGCTCCTACAAAGGCTTGGTTAACCTGCCCATTATTTACTCTTTCAAAACACATATTTTTAAAATGAAGCATATTTATTGTTTAATTCATTCAGGGAAATCTAAACTAAATAACCAGAACACTCAGTAAGAACTGTTATATTTATGGAAATGAACATAACGCTTTTCCCCATGAAAAATGGACCTTGACTATCATCTCTTAACTATCTGTCCTATATTTTTTTTTTTCAAAATTTTGTCTCCTAGAATCCCCAGTAGAAAGCAATGGGGATAAGGAATATTTTAAAAAGATGAGGAAAAATTGGGGGGGGGGGTAGGAAAAACAGTAAGGGGGAGGGGAGAAATAGCTTGTTTACATCCAAGCCTTGTTTATGATGTCCAAATTATAAAGAGTTAGTTACAAAAACTGGTCTATCAAGTCCTGTTAGCTACTTTGCTTACATAAGAGCTTTCATGCTCAGAGATAACTTATTTCTGTATTCTGTATTGTAAGCAACCTTGAATGTTGAAATAAGCAAAACGTTGAGGTATAAATTCAACAATAAATAAATAAAATATATCAGATCAAGCTGGACAAACTGTATGGGAATTATGTTGCCTTCGTGCTATAGCCTTCTGAGAGGTATAGCATATGGCTGTAAGAATGGTTGCTCAATTAATCAAAAAACGATGTAGAGACTTTGGTAAAAGTTCAGAGAAGAGCAACTAAGATGATCAAAGGCCTGGAGATTGAACCATATGAAGAACGGCTGCTGGTTTTGGGTCTGGCTAATCTAAAGAAAAGAAGAATTAGGAATGAGATGATAGGAGTATTTCAGTATTTGAAGGGCTGCCACAAAGAAGAGGAGGTCAAATTAATCTCCAAAGCACCAGAGGGGCAGGACAAGAAATAATGGTTGGAAACCAATCAAAGAGAGAACCAGCCTGGAATTAAGGAGGTACTTCCTAACAGTGAGGACAATTAACCAGTGGAACAGCTTGCCACCAGAAATTGTGGGCACTCCATCACTGGAGGTTTTTAAGAAGAGACTGGACATTCACTTGTCTGAGATTGTATAGGTTCTCCTGCTTGAGCAGGGAGCTGGACTAGAAGACCTCTAAAGTCCCTTCCATCTCTATTCTATTCTACTTTTAATTAAATTGAATCTCAGTCCCATCTAGCACAGCACGAAATATGCCTCTAAACTACAGTATTTATTCCCTTGCTTACTCAGTTATATACTTACAGTATTTTATATCCTATATTGCTTGCTCTCTAAGGACTCCCAGTTGCTTACAAAATTGAACATAAAATCACTAAATAATTAAGTTCAAACATAACTACATAAGCGTACTAATGTCCATATGATGCAGTCATGCTTATTTCCAGAAATCATAAACACTTAACAATAATTAAAAGCTTTGCAGGAAAGCTTGCCTTTCTGAGTTTCACCAGGGACAGGGGTATTAAGATATCTGGAAGGATTAAGATACTCCACAAGGCCGGAGCATAAACTGAAGCACACCAATTTTGTCTCAAAGCCCCCTCCCCTCTAGTTTTACAGAGAGTGGGAATCAATATCTCAACTCACAACGAACACACGATATCCCTTCACCCTGAATTAGCTGAAACAAAAATCAAAGGAAATTTAACCAACACAAAAGGTCTTATCTTTTAGGTTACTCTGAGTTAACGGACTCTAGTGGTGAGGCTAACTAGGAATATTAGAACTTCAGTAAAACTGCATATTCCCCACCCTTTAGTCAGACTATTGAAACAATAAAAATGTATTTTCTACACAGTTTTATTTCACCAGAGAAAATTATTCTTACAATAGTTTGATAATTTAGAGATTTTTTTCATCTTTGGCAGTTCTGAAAAATTAACTCTTGAGTTGTTTTAGTTTATTGTTCCATATATTAAACTTAGATGAAAATATGTCTAAGGTCCTGTATAAAGCTGAAGCTATAGTTAAAAGCATGTGGAGATAAATTCCCTAATGCTCTAAATAGGTTCTGTTTTAATATGAAATCAGCTCAAAGCAGCCTCTCTCTTCTGGAAATAGAAAACGGCTAATATGGATATGCTTAGCAGGCCTGACTATTCAGTAAAAAGTGAGTTACTAAAGCAAACAAGAGTCACTTGGTTGAGATAGATGGCCATAAAATTGAAACAATCAATAAAAATTGTAGTATACTTGTTTTGCATACTCGTAATACTGCATTCCTATTGGACAGATACCACTGCCTAGCGATTGGAAGATAACAACAGTTCTGATTGGCCGCCTAAGCGAGCTGCGAGCAGCCACTATAAAAGGGGCGGCCGCGGCTCAACTTTAGTTGAAGTTACTAACAGTTAAATAAAGAGCTGAACTCAACTCCGGTCTCGAGTCTACCTTGTTCTGGTGATAGAACACTGGCAACGAGGATGGGATTGAAGGAACAAAGACCGTAAGCACGTGGCAACGGAAGACGAAAAATCAATGAGATGGCCGGCAACAACTCGCCACCCGCACCGTTCAACCCAGCCGAAGAAGACTGGGAATCATATATTGACAGGTTCCTGATGTTCTTGGAAAGCAACGAACTACAAGGAATCACTGACCACAGGTAGAGAGCCGTATTCCTGATGAATTGCGGTCCGACAATCTTTAAAATGGTGAAGGCATCGGCAAAACCAAACGATGTCAAACAGATGGCATGGCCAGACCTGAACCGAATGCTGAGAA